CTGCCAGCTTCCTTCTTTCTTTGATACTGAGGGCTGCTCCTGCTCTCCCAAGCGAAACCTCCCATAGAGGAATTTACTAAAGAATTTAGTAAGCAACATTGAGAAACTACCAGGAGCAGTCAAGGAATGGTCATCTTTGTGACGCAATCAATGTGCGTAGACTTCCTCTAGATAGAGGAAGGAGAGACAGGTGAGGTCACAGTAAGAGGGGATTGAAATGAAGGCAGATTCGTCTTGATCGGCAAATTAAAGCTTTTAGCATATATCGAAGGCTACATAGACGATGGGATTTCTCTTTTGATGATAGAAAGCAGCAATATATATGTTCGTGTCATACAAAGAAACTACAAAAAAAGAAGAATCTATAGCTACGTTAACGAGGTGCGCCCGTTCAGACCTGCTGTAGTAGACCATGCAGAACAACAACAATCAGTTTGTCCCCCATAAAATATTGCAAGAAACCAAGGAGCTAGGCCTTGCCTCATTTCCGGCTGTTCCCATCTTATGCCACATTTGTAGAAGGCATAGCATCTGCCCCCAAAGCCCCAGCGAGTGTATAACTACCCACTGACCGTCTTGAATTCAATATCAGGACTTCCTCAAGAGATTGAGGCGTGTAAGCCCTCAGTGGGGTTGGAGTCGGCCATCTATATACATAGATACATCGTTACTTAGCCCTGTTCCTCGTGGAAAACCCTCCAGGTATATTTGAAGGGGGATGGGGGAGAGAGGGAGACGGAGAGAGAGAGGTCTGTCCCACAAACTATTTTAAATGACGTACCTTCTATCAATGAACTTTACGGAAGCATAAATGGCCACTTCGAGGAGGAGCACCCAGGTGAGTAAAATGGCTGCACACAGAACAGCAACGAAGAGCTTGTTCCGTGCAAGATATTGCAAAGAATTGAGGAGCCAGGGCGGAGGTGAGATGGAGATCCCCGGTGAGGAGCTATTAGTACTGGATAACTTCATCTATCGGCTGTACCTTCTCTGAATCAGAGGAAAAACGGGCAAGAGCTTGTGCAAATTGTATTTTGCTGCGGTGTGGTATATTATGCAGAACTAGTGAAATCTCTTAAGATTGTTCAAACAGGTAGCAGTAGTAGTTGTTGAGGGATGTAAGTTCAATTAAGGACTAGTGCCTTCCTTCCCATTTGGAAGGTGCATATAGTCTCTAGAATGCCAAGAAGAGATGCCCTACCTCAGCTGGCATAGAGTGATCATGTCGGTCATCATCACGTCTTGATGAACAGTATATAGCTTCACAATGACATAATACTGCCATAATCGTCGACTCATAAACAGGAGAATTTTCTGAACAGCTCGAATGCTTTTCTCAAAAAAAACTTTTGCTAAGGAACCGTCTGATCATGATCTACCACAACGACCACCCCGATCATACATTCCAGATGAGTAGCTTACTGCGACTACTCAGACGGTCACTTGCCCGCCGGGCCGAGCCAGTTCTGATAAAGATAGAAAACCATCTCGAGCGTACCGGAAGATGGAAGACGGCTCAACGAATGCGCTATAAGCAAGTCATTTGGCAGATGATAGACTGCACAAAAACTTGCGAGGCTGTGCTATTTCTGCTTGAAAATGATATGCGTCATCTTGAAATTCTGCAGAGGGAAGCATTCTTGAAAGCGGAATGTCAGTAAATTACTAAAACACAGCTATCTGAGGATGACCAGGAGCAACTCGAGGCTTGGTACAAAGAACTAGATGAGCTGACTCGCGAGCTCTGGCGGACCGAAAGAGAACAATATATCTACAGTCTGAAAGTTCCAAATTCGCCTTGTGGACGCGCGCTAAGTACAAGATGGAAGCACCCTGAAGGGCGCATGACATTGAATCTTCGTCGGGACTGTGCTGGGAGAGGAGGATGCTGTGGCCGCGACTGTGGATGTTGTGAGAGGCCACGGAGCAAGGACCGACCTTATGCCTTGGGTCATTGTACGGCTCAGTGCGGATGTTGTATCCGGGCTCGGGGATTCGAGCTTAATACTCCGGAGGATCAGGGTCTGGCAAGGGCTGGGTTTGATCGGAACAATTCCAGTGACCCGTATGCGATTGGAAGGGTTTGGGACTATATATTTGGGTGCGAATTGGTCTAAAGGTGAATATCATCGTGACCATGATGATGAACCCTAGTCACACAAACCGGTGACTCTCAACAATACAAATTGCTGACTACAATTCTTTCTACCTAAAAAGGCTCAATAAAGCTTGAGATTACCAGTAGATATGAAATGGGGTTATTGAAATCCTCAAAGTATGCGGTCGGAGTTAAGTTAGACCACGCCGAGCTGCAACCCGTAACGGGTGTAGTTGCGACTACTACTCAACAATCCCTTTTCCATTCTCTATCTCGCATCGTCTCGCTTCCACTTTATGACATGATTCTAGGCAGGTCTTCTGCATCAAAAGTCTGTCTTTTGTCTCGTGTATTATGTAGCTACCGTGTTATACATGGACACGATCATCTACGATCTAGCAAATGGGTGCGACGCGCATTATTCTCCCATAACAGCCATAGCGTCAACATTCCAGTTGGAAACAACGGTTCCATAGCACTCAAGTAGGTTGATAGATATACCACAGAAGACAATCCAGCCTCAGTACTGATAGCGAACTAAGAATAACCACACCTAATTCTAACTCACTGACGAAAAGACCCAATGAGCGCGTCATTATCAACCTTCCTGCAGGCCCAATCTTCAATCTTCTCCATTCTGAATCATCTGGACATGCCCTCCCTCAGGCAGCTAATGACAGCGAAAATAAACCCACTACAGAAGTCGAGCGACTGTCACAAATAGCCTCCATCACGTCCTCGACAATAGTAACAGTCAACTACCGCTTGGGCATTTCTCCTGCCACTCCTAACGAACTAACCCTCAACCAAAACCAATACAAATTCCCTACACCCATCCATGACACGCTCGCCGGGTTTGACTGGGTTCTGCAGACCCTTCAGCCCCATAGCCTAGGAATCCTAGGCACGCACATCGGCGGCTCGCTCGCACTCATGCTTTCCCTTACAGAAGCACGATCCATCGAAGCAGTAGCGGCCATTGACCCCATCTGCGACTGGACTTCTCTTGATGAGCATTGCATTCAACAGCCACCATCCTCTGATGCTAATGGAAATGTCCCAAGCAGCAGCAGTAGCAGAAAAGGCCCTCGCGGAGGAGGAACTGCGCCCCACGACCTTGTCCCTCTTCTCAAAGCAAGAAAGGAATACTTTTCCACTCCCGAGAGATATTTCGACGCATTTGCGTCGCCATTGCTATTTCTTCGCTCGCCAGGGAAGAATGTTCCTCGTTTCTTTCCGGAGTATCTTACTGGCCCGGAGTACCCGATCCCTGTTTTGAAGGCGAGAGAAAGTGTATCCACGGAGGATGATCTCATCGATTATTTTTGGGACGTGTATATCGGGGAAGAGGATAGCATGAGTGAGTCAGAGTCTACGGGCAGTGAGACGAAACGAAGTCCTCCTCGTCGGCGAAAGGCGCTCTCCCGATGGCCTCCATTCGGTCTCGATTACGGGAATAGTGGTCCGGCGTGGCAGAGTCCTAGCCACGGGGTTAGGCGGCTCGAGATGGAACTCCCTTGGGTGAGAATATTTACTCAAGCTGTGCCTGAATCTGAGGACCAAATCGGCAACTCGGAAGTGAGGCAGAACCAAGGGTCATCCACAAAGAGAAATAAAACGTCCAGCGTATTGTTACAGCAGGCCCATGACATGGTCGATGTCATGCGAAGATCTTGCTTTTGGGGGCGTGAAAAGGGATACAGCGAGAGGAGAGTGACTCTCACTCGGTACTCGCAGGATGAAAGGGAATTGGCGGGCCTCTGGTTACGGGAAAAGACGTCGGATTGAAGACGCAGTATACTCCTTGCGACGCTGGATATATAGGGCGTTAGAATATGCCATTGATTGTTTTTACACGTTGAAAAAAAAAACAAAGACAAACAAGAAAAAGGAAACAAAAAGGAAGCCTCATTCTTCAATCATCAGTTTGTCGTCGGCCTCATCAGCCATAATTGAGGCCTCCAAGGCCGCGACCTTCTCCCTCTTTCTCTTCAGCTCCTCCTCCTTGATGGCGGCTCGGAGGCGGGCAATCTCCTTCTTCTTTAGATCCATATATTAGAATATGCTTCTATTGACTTTATCTTTTTTAGGCGAGTTGATATTACCTTCTCCGCGGCGGACATCTTCGTGATGTCTCTCTGCTCTTTGGCAGGCTTCTTCGGCTTCTCAACCCGGGCACGTTTGCGGGGACCAGCCCCAGAGAAACTCCCAGCGAGGAAAACAGCGTTGTGGAAGATGGCCTATGCACGCCGCCAAGATTAGCATCATAACCTATAATGTACTTCATATTCTTAATCTTAAAAAGATAGGACATACTTGGGTAGGATGCTCCATTTTTATCAAGAAGGACTTGATTTCTGGGAGGGAGGGACCGATATAATAGTGACAGGAATTGAAGTAAGCTTCGAAGCTCCCTAATAAACTCAACAAAGTTCAGCAGGGTGAATAGTAGGTAGAATATAGTAAACCAAACCTTTGCTACCCAGGCATGTAGGCCGTACACGAGTTACAGCAACTACTCGTAGGGGCAGACATAGGACAGACTAATTGCTCAACCTGCAAAGAGCAAGGGCTTAATATCAGTGGTGCATTTCGAGTAGCATGATGTTGAACATTAGGTCCTTCGGAGTGGAATATGATTGAGGAAGGCAACACTCGTTTGTCGATGGTGAGTCTTTGGGATGTTGGTGTTATGAGTGAATAAGATACTGGCTAGTAGTGAATCGCAACAGTAATCCGCAACTAGTAGTAGTCAGGTAACACTATGGATATGTTTATATATTGAACGAGTACTCCCCATTTCTTGCACCTCTCTTGAATCGGCGTCTCACAACATTTTTTTTTCTAGCAATCTTGCAAAAAGGAAACCTCTAAACGTCGACTCTTATTACATCAGTTCAAAATGCAGCAGGGACCCCCACCTCAGACCTTACGGTACTACCAGTGCCCTCCGATCCAGAGATATATAACGGAAATCGCAATAGGCCAGCATCAGCCTCAGAAGCCGGTCGACCATGCCTGGCAGAATATCCTGCAGCATTACTTCCGAACCTCTCATTACTCTGTAGAGAGGTCAGAATAACTTAATTACCCTCCGTCGAAGAGTAAAACTGATGTCTCTGTGGTCAATTTTAGGAACAATGGCTTCCACGAGGTCATTGTAGTCGAAGCCAAGAAGCCCACAGGAAGGGCCCCGACCGAGCATAAGTGGAATGGAGTCCGGCAACAGCTCCAAAAAGACAACATGTTAGCCTTCAGAAACAGGCTAGACAACGTACAGACCATGTACGGAGTTGCAGCAGTTGGGTCTCGTGCTCGATTTTACGTCTTGTTTATGAATCAGAATGTTCTGGTTTCAGATACCCAGGACGGGATTCTTGCTAACGACGAGGTGGTGGATCTGCGTGATGATGAGCAGAATATCCATCTCTTGCTGGAAGCAAAGTTGGCGAGGATTAACAACTGTCAGAATAACAACTGATTATTGGGTTGGTTTCTGCGACGGTAAATGGGGATGACACTTGGGACATACTTTTAATCTGCCAGGACTACGGGCTTGGTGCTGTCGCTTGTCACGTCTGTGTCATTTCCCCTCAGTTCGGCTGGTCCGGACTGGGGCATCCTCTTTTCGGCTTGTCCGGGAGCAGGGAGTCCGAGTACTTCGTCAGGGCAATGGGATATGGGGTTGTCTTTGATGTTAGAAAGGCATCTTCAAGTATGCGCCACTGGTCGTTGTGGGCAGAAGTGCAATAGATGTGTGTTTACAGGCCTTATAAACCACACTGATTATTTAGTATGGATATGAAAGCAATATATTGTATTAGGCTCAATTAGATGGGGCTGAAACGTGACTGATGGATTCGGTTTGCTGGATTGGATGAATACATGGTGTATACGAGCTGAATTATATGCGCTGAGGTTGCCTACGAGATAATAGACAATGAGACAATCTGAAACTCGAAGTATACATAAACAGAATGGGACCATATCTACAACCAATCCCCAGGCCAATTTGGAACTTATTCAGTAGCTGCACTCGCCGACGGATCATCCATGTCAAGTGACGCCTCGACATCATCCTCCGGCACGGGACGCAGAACCTCCAGAGACAACTGAGGATCTTTCGAGTAGACCCTCAAACCAACCACACAGACAGCATTCCATGGATCGCTATTAGCATCGCCTTCGCCGGCGCTGTTAACGGATTTGACTGGTGTGCGGATTTCTTCAACTGGCACTTCGTCAGAAGACATATCGAGTTCAGAGTCAAATTCGAATCCCTCCAGGAATTCAGCGTTTGCAGCATGATCTGAAGAAGTGTTCTTGACCCGGACGGATAGAGAAGTCTTGCTTTCGCGTCGAACGCAGTGGTCCGGGTCATGACCGTCCTCAAGTGAGATAGAAGGTATAGAGGCTTTCCTAGTGAGCTTAAGTTCGTTGACTGGTAGTTGAACAGGTCCGTCGGGAACAACTTCCTCAGATGGGCTGTCTTCCCTGACAAGTTGTTGTTTCCTGCTTGATTTAGCAGAGAATCTTTTGTCCAGTCTCTTATGTCTGGCTTCGAGCTTCCTCGCCCGGACCCACTCTTTCTGCAATCTCTCCTTAGTCTCTTCTCTCCGTTTCCTGCGTTCAGCTGCTTTTCGCCGTTCTTCGCGTTCTTGACGTGCTCGTTTCTCCTTTTCGGTTTCGTGAACGATACCCTTTGCGTGCGCTAAGTCGTAGGAAAGTCCTATCTGGAGTAGTTTGCTGCGCCGAGTGGGAGCTAGGCGACGGACGACTTCTTCGACAGGGAGCTTCTCTTTGTTTCGGTACGCTGTAACTTTCATGAGGACGTGGTAGCGTCCGGCTTCGAGGTCGACTTCGACGTTGACGGATCGCCACATTAGCTCGTTGCCGTGGCTGCGGACGAAGTAGTCGTCTTCGCCTTCTTTCTGGAGTCGGAATTTGAGGTCGAAGTTGTATTCGCCAGACAGGCCTTTGTAGTATCGTTCGTCGAGCTTGGGGGTATGGTTAGTTGAGTTAGGAGGGTTGAGGTTATGGGTTGTGCGCACCTGGGAGAGAACGATCACGGCAGGGCCAGCTGTCTTCACATCTAGTACAAACTTTGTGCTGTGGTACGTTGCCGACCACGGGACGTTCAGGCTTGTCCACTGCTGGGTTACGGTCCAGTCGTCGTTGAAAAGACGGATTCGGTCGAAGTGTTGGTATTTCTTTAAGAGGTCATCGTAGGAAATCCAGAAGAACTTGTAACTGTAAGTATGGCTTTACACATAAAAGGTAGGTGACTTACGCCGTCATTGCCAAACCTGTGTCCCAGTTTCTCCATCCATTCTGGTGTCCATTGCTCGGAGCCATCGCTCCACGCTCCTGTCCATTCCTTTTTACCCCAGGGGTTTCTGGATTGTGTAAGCTATCTTTATATGATAGAAAAGTGCTTATACGTACCTTAGCCGTAGCAAACGCTGACCATCAACTTCCCTCGCTTCCATAATCGAGTATGAGTGGTTCTCACAGATACCTTTCCTATCTCTCGGAGGCCCAGTATATTCCGGCTCCAGCCAGTTGGCAAATATACCCGTGCCGCAGCCGAAGAGAAACTCCTGGTTGACGTGCATGAGTTCCTCTTTCCAAAACCGGTCCTTGTCAAGAATATTGCTGGTGAGTACATCAGAAGTGACACCACCGGTGAGGTCCTCAAGCGCTTCCCTGGGGAATTGTTAGCGCTCGAGCAAATATGGTACCTGGAAGTGTCGTACCCAACAAACCCGCCTTCAATGGCGGAGTAGTCGCCATGGGCCTTAGCATACGCCTTTTCCAGCAACGGCAGCCAAGTCTCATTTTCATCTGCGCATTGAGCGAAATATAGAGCCCGCGACCCAGTCTGCCAAACTTTACGATACTCTTCCTCCGTGTCGATTCGATTGATATCATCCCAGATTGATCGTTCCTCCACAGACTCATCGTAATCGGCGGCACGAAGATAAAGTTTGTCATCCACGATGCATTGCTGCCATTCACCGTCTAGGAGAATATCAGCGTTCTAATTCCCCTCGATCCGGACAGTGGCTCACCTCTGTAAAACAAGAACCCATACACTCCAACCTTCTCATTGCGAGCGACACAAATCTTCTCAATTAATCCTTGTTTGTTTCCCATGGTACACAGCGCGGCCATGAACCAACAGTCGCCATCGCGACCTTGACGAACGTCCGAGGCAGTGGGCCCGTTGATGTAGAATTCCGGTTTCTCGAATATTTCCTTCGGAAGATAACTCCATCAGCAATTGTATCATCTCATGGACCATACTCTCGAGCCAAGATATTACTTACTGTTACTCTCTTGACGCCCCGTGGAAGCATCTCTAGGTTCTCCTCATCCAAACCTTCTAAATAATTCCTCCTCCGGCATTTCAAGTCGACCTCGATGTCGAAGTGGGGGTCGGTGTACTTCTGATTCAATCGCTCACATTCCCTTGCAATACGCTCCACAGCGCGCTGACACTCCGCTCGAGCCTGTTCATACGACTTCGAGGCATGTTGTCCTTGGACTATACCCGAGGGCGTCCTGGCAGCTTTGTTGCGCGCATACGGATTGTCTGGCAGAACTGTATGGACCAATCCTGGAAACTTGGAATTAAAGCCATTCCAGAACTGCTGCATTATTTCCTGTGGTGGCTGGGTTGGCCTTTTGCGCATTCGACTCTCTGATCGTGAGGAAGGAGGAGGGGTATAGACCAAGTCTTGATGGTCGTCGCAGTCCATGATTAGAGTTATTTATTATATGAGCGACGAGAAATAGATGCTCTTTTGTATGGGATAAATAAGCGGACGAGGGAACATGAACACGAAGAGGATAACTACCAATGCTTCAACTCCTGCTTGCATTTTCAGCGCACACGCCCCGCCTTAATAGTCAGGAGTCCTCGAGGACCCCTCGTGTCTCTATCCGAGGCTGAGCAAATCATAGTTAACCTGCTTGACCCTGGTAAGCATCAAAGCGCCCCTAAAGCACCGCCAATAACGTTAGCCAATAGGCATACTTGATTCTCACTGCTTTTGCCGCCGCCGGGGGTAGCTAGCCTTGCGCGATATAGTCATATGTGATCAGCTGGCAGCTGAGGGATCAGCGAAGTTGCATGCACGTTTATGCACGCTGTTCATGGTGAAACAGACTATAGCCGTTCGTGTTGGCAGACTGAGGTGTGGGTAGGGCACATGGGCTGAGACTCAGCTTGTAAGCATCTTATGTTTGAAACCCTGTTACTGAAAAGCCACGGATGTGATAGATGCCGTGCTTACGGGCCAAAAGAGTCAGATACACTGGCGTCAACTCACATTCAGCTAGATTGTCGCTATCAGTGGTGATTATTAATAGAAGAGTCAAGCGCTTGCATGCAAAATACGAGGGGTCCCTCCAGCGGTAAAGTAAGCGCTCGGACACGGGATCATCGGTTCGGCTGGCTCTCTTAGCTCATTGGGTTGGAGAGGCATCTCCACCTTGGCGATTGAGGAAGAAAAGGTAAACTTCGAGGCTGCTGAGGTCGTTGCAAGGTGTCAAGGAAATAGAAGTCCGAGCCATGGCCGGATAGGACCGAGTCTTGGTACACCACGTGGATGTCATGGGGCCAGGACCAGGGGAAGAGAAAATACCAGCCGCAAGGCTGCCTCATATTTCGGGAGTTGATGGATGTCACACCCATAATATTGCTATTAAAAGAATACTATTTTTCTTTTGGCAGTTACTCATTTATGGGTATGTACGCATAACTCAAAAACACTCCTTGTAATATCCAGTATCCTGATCTCGTCCCTTCCAGACCACTCCGCAAGCAACGCCATGAATAAAAGAACACATACAAACAGAAGGAAAACCTAGGGCATCACAAAAGATATAAAAAGTAGAGATACTGGGAGAAGTGCAGGCACAGAGCCTGTAAAAAAAACCTGGTCGGACCTGAATAACGTCCATTGCATCTGCCGCATTTGTCCACATGATACGTACACCAACACTAATGGATGATGCGCAAGGTAGACCGGCTAGTTGAAGCCATTCCTCCGGGCACGTCCTGAGTAGTAGGCACTGCCGTTCCGGAAGTAGGGATGCATGCAGGCCTGCTTGGCAGAAATTCGTCGTGCAGGATCATACTCGAGAAGAGCATCGAGGAGGTCCAGACCATCCTCTTCAAGGTCAGGAACGAGTGCACGGGTTTCATCACGTTTCCACTTAGGGAAAGTGGGTTTGTAGTCGGGGAAAGAGGTGACGCCGGGCCAGATGGTTTCATCTGGGGTACCGAGGAGACTGTGATCCAGGGAGGTTAGATGTTGGACTCTTCGCACGAGAAAATAAGGGAAGCATACCGGAAGATCTTGAAGATCTCGTCGATCTCCGAATCACCAGGGAACAAAGGCTTGCGAGTGCACATCTCCGCGAAAATGGCACCACAGGACCACATGTCTACGCCGGTCGAGTACTGACGACCACCCAAGAGAATCTCAGGGGAGCGGTACCAAAGGGTGACAACCTGAGGAAGGTCAATAACACATTACAATGAGACAGGCCTGATACGTTGTAGAAATACCTCATGAGTGTAGGTTCTCAGGGGAACACCAAAAGCTCTAGCCAATCCAAAGTCCGCCAGCTTAAGATTGCCATCACGGTCAATCAGGAGGTTCTGGGGCTTGAGATCACGGTGTAGAATACGGTGGCTGTGGCAGTAACGAATACCCTCCACTAGCTGAGCCATGAACTTCTTGACCATGGCATCGCCAAGACCCATGTTCTTGCTCAAAGCAGAGCCTTCCGGAAGAGCTTTGCCTCGGCCACCTTCGCTGACAGGAAGAGCCTCCATATACTTCTTGAGGTCGAGATCGAGGAATTCGAAGACGAGATATAGCTTGTGGCCATCGGCATGCACAATGTTCAGGAGTCGCACAATGTTGGGATCGCTCATCTCCTTGAGTAGGGAAATTTCACGGATGGCTGTGCTAGGAACGCCTTCATCCTCCGCCTCTAGTCGAATCTTCTTGAGGGCGACAATCCGATTGGGATGGGTGAGCTCGCGAGCCTTGTAGACAACGCCATAGGTTCCTACAACAAGCAGATTCGAGTCAGTCTCGGATCCAAATAGAGGGAGGGCGATCGGATAAGAGTCGGATCAAGAGAAAGTACAATTGTTATCGGCCTTGAGGTGGACGTACCTTCTCCAATCTTCTCGATCTTCTGGTAGTTCTCCATGATGAAATATGTCGCTGATTTCCTTGCTTCCTCACACAATCACTTTAATCTGATATATCCGATAATTGAATTGAGCGTACACAGCGTGTTGTCCTGTCTACCAGCACGCGGGGTACAGGAAACAAAGGAGGCTGCACGACGACGGCGTTGGGTTGCCGGGGAAGAACAGAAGGCGTCAAGCAGAATGCGAGGAGTTTGGGGGCACAATGGAGTTGACAGCAAGCGAGACAGGAGTCAATTCCCAAATAAGAAGCAGACTCAAGGGTCCAAAGAGCGAAACCAGCCTCGTCCCGAGCGTGACTTACCTTAAACTTACCTGGAATGGGCTATGAGATCTGAAGCAGTTCAACTTGGAGTCTTTTCATCCCTGCTGGTGGGGAGCCCAAGGCGGTCAGCAACGGCCGTACACAAACAAACCCGCGCGTCCCAAGGCGGTGAGCGCGTGGACAGCTGACCCTTTTTTCGTTGGTTGCCGCCAGTGGCTTTTTTTTCCCGCTTCAAGTTGGAAGTTTGGAACGAGCCCGCCGGATGGCAAACTTTCATTCTTTTCTCACGATCAAAGTTATCCAGATCGGTTCATTCACCTACAGGAAGGCGGAGTCTCTGGGCTTTCACGTAGATATGCAATAGTCTGGACAAGACTACGTGGACTAACACTACTACTGCGGCTGTCTATTGACTTATGAGTTGTCAGCTGCATAGTTTATCCTAATGCCGCATATCAAGGATTTGAATGCCCATGAGCGTCCCCCAGAGGGCATCAAGCAGCGTTATAAGCAATACCAAAAGTCCACGCTTACGGAGATAGAGTCTGACGACAGTATCATCGATCTGCAGTCCTTGGACCCTCAAAATCTCCCAGAGGAAATCTCCTTAACGCAATGGATTTCCAGCGCAGATTTTGAGCCTGTATTTGACCAATTCCTCGGCACGAACCAGGATCTGCAGGGTGCTCGGCCTGCTAGGGATGTCCCTGTTTTCAGCCATCGTGCTATTTCCGGTTAGCATTATTGCCCCATGGCACTCCATTGTAGAAAACCTCTGTTGACATGCTGTAGGTCTGCAAGTGATTCCCTCATTGCTTCCACCCGCAGTTCAGGTCGAGTTGTTATCTCGTCTGTTCCACCGGGATTTGTCTAACCCTCGGCATCAAACCAACCTTCATCTGCACTATGATATCACCTATCCTAGTGCGGTGAACGAGGTTGAAGCGGTCTCGGCCGATATTAGTCCAGTAGGCGCTTATCCTCCGTCTTTCTTTGGAGATGATCCAGCCCGTGCCATAGAGCCTAAAGATCCAAATGTGCACAAACCACTTACTGTCCAGAGCATACTGAACAGAAAGCTACGCTGGGTTACTCTAGGTGGCCAATATGACTGGACCGCCAAGGTGTATCCGTCGGAGCGCCCTCCCGAATTCCCCAGGGACATTGCAAAGCTCTTGCATGCGATGTTCCCTGCCACTGAAGCTCAGGCTGCTATTCTCAATGTCTATTCTGCTGGTGACCACCTCAGTCCCCATCGCGACGTCAGCGAGGATTGTGATGTAGGCCTGATTAGTGTCAGCTTTGGTTGCGATGGCCTGTTCTTAATCAGTCATGACGATGGCGAAGATTGTGAAATTATTCGCCTTCGCTCCGGAGATGCGGTGTATATGGATGGCACCTCACGTTTTGCTTGGCATGCAGTACCGAAGATTGTGCCGAATACTTGTCCTGCATGGCTTGCTAATTGGCCATCAAGCCCGCATGACGGTGCAGCTACCCAGTATGATACTTGGAGAGGTTGGATGTCGGGCAAGAGAGTTAACCTCAACGTTCGACAAATGGAATCTGCGAAGCCTCATGATTGAATCCGAAGCAAAGTCTTACAAAGCGCAACCGTGATGGGCTTGACCAGGTGCAGCATAGCTTTGAATATATGCAACGAGCGATCATTGGCAGCTTATCAAGCTGCGCAGTTCTTCAAAGCCAATGGAGGGATGGACGGCACTATTCTATACCGCAGGAGCAAGGAACTAGTGCATCTATTCTTTCGAGGTTTATCTTTTCCAATACTCATGGATATTGAGTGTGGGAAGTACGCCAATGCTCTCTTGAAATAGGAGCTTCTATCCAAGACACGTGGGTTAAGAGTTGAGAATCCTGCTATCGGCAGGGTGGTATAGCTGGTGAGATAGAACCTTGGTCCAGCAGGCTGGCTTGGGTATTTACTGTTCGATGTAGCATATAGAAAGCCGTATATAGTCATGCCCAGAATGGTGACATTCTGAAATACCCGAAATGCGGAATGCATATTCCGCAGCAACATCTTACAATATAGCGGGGTAGCAAGTGCCTGTCAGCTTGGCATTCCATCCATCCATCCATCCATCTGCCAGCATTCATTCAAGCCCATCTCTATCTCTCCCAAATACTAATCCATAGGCTCCAAATGTGGCCGCTCCGTATCTCCTTCCTATCTAATTGATAGAATAAGTCCGAGCACTATCTGTCTCCGGGCCTCAAACAAGCTAACTCCCCCAAGGAAGGACGATAAGCAAGATATACTCCGTGCCATTGGTTCCACTTCCTGCAATCCCCCGCCTTCATATGATTGACGAATAGAAGGGGTAGGTAAGACAACGGGATGATCATCCCACCGAACGCATTGATAAGATCCTATGGTCCACCCCCTCTTCCATCACCATCCTACTCCTCAACACACACTCCTCCCAACAACAAGAACAACTACCACTACGATTCCAAAATGGCCCTCACACCCTGGGAACAAACCGCAGCAACCAAACGGCAATCCGTCCTCGCCGCCATTCCCGAGAAATGGCGCATCAAGGGCCCCATCCCCTCTCCGACGGAGCAGCGCGACGTAACAGGCCCCTACATCCAGCAATTTCTATCCCCGCGCGAGATTGAAATCACCGAAACAGATGCCGTGGGAATCACAGAGCGCACCACGACGGGCCAGTGGACGGCTGTGGAGGTTGCCGAGGCGTTCTGCCATCGCGCAGCGTTGGCGCATCAACTTGTATATTCCCCATCCACAAGGAGCGCTGGTATTCTCTTCTCTCAACTAAACAAGAACATAGGTAAACTGCCTACACGAGATCTTCTTCGACGCTGCGCTCGAAACTGCCCGTGTGCTCGACGATCACTACACCAAAACTGGAAAACCACTCGGTCCCCTTCACGGCCTGCCCGTCAGTCTAAAGGATCAATTCCATGTTAAGGGGGTGGAAACAACAATGGGCTACGTCGGGTGGATTAACACCTTCCAAGGCAAGACTGACGACCCGCGCTATCTCACTCACGAAAGTGAGCTCGTCAAAGAGCTTCGCGCCGCCGGTGCTGTTCTCTATTGCAAGACTAGCGTCCCCATGACGTTGATGTCAGGTGAAACTATGAATAATATCATAACCTACACGCATAACCCCAAGAACAGACTCCTCAGTTCCGGGGGTAGTTCAGGAGGTGAAGGAGCGCTAATTGCTCTGCGGGGGTCACCGGCAGGATTTGGTACTGATATCGGGGGCAGTATCCGTGTTCCCGCGTCGTTTAATGGACTATATGGAATACGGCCGTCTGTGGGGAGAATGCCGTATGAGGGAGCGGCTAACTCTGGAGAAGGACAAAACACAGTGTTGTCCGTTGTAGGGCCATTGTCTTCGTCGGCGAGAGGGTTGGTCCTGTTGTTCAAGACGGTGTTGGCGGCGAAGCCGTGGCTGGGAGACCCCGGTGTGTTGGAGATCCCCTGGAGGGAGGATATCGTAGAAGAGACGAGGAAGCTGGTGCAGGGACAGCCTGAGGGGCTTTCTTTCGGGATATTTTACGATGATGGGCTGGTAAAGCCGCAGCCACCAGTTGAAAGGGCGATGCGCATCGCTGCCGAGACGATCAAGAGCCTAGGACACAAGGTGAGTGTCCTCCTCCTTAGTTACAACACTGCTAATACTTATCCTAGCTCATCGACTGGCAACCCCCCTCTCACCAAACAGCCGCCTCCATCGCAGTAAGCCCCTCCCCCATATCCAACTACCCACCCAAAACACTTGATATCACTGACAATCATCCCAAGAACCGCGCCTACAACCTCGACGGCGGCGCCGACGTCCTCCAAAACTTCGCCCTCTCCAACGAAACAATCCACACCTCCGTAGTAATCGACACCTCTGGATCCCCGCAAAAGACCGCACTCGAGATCGCCGCCCTAAATGTCGAGAAGCGCGAATACCAGAAACAATACCTCGACTACTGGAACAGCACGGCGCAAGTCACAGGGACTGGCCGGCCCGTCGACGCGGTCATTTGTCCGGTGGCGCCCCATGCGGCGTGCATTCCGGCCAAGTATGCGACGATCGGGTATACGGCGTTTATTAATGTGTTGGATTATACGAGTGCCGTTGTGCCGGTGACGTGTGCTGATCGGGGGGTGGATGTTTTGGGGACGGAGGGGAGGGAGTATTTTGGGGAGTTGGATAGGAGGACGGAGGGGGAGTGTAAGTTCTTTTGTTTCTTTTGCCGTTTATTTTCTCTTGGGGCTGTTTGCTGTCGATGAGGTTGTGGTTATGTGCTGACTGGATGTTGCTATCTAGACGATGCGGATGTGTTTGATGGGGCGCCGGCTGGGATTCAGCTCTTTGGAAGACGGCTTCAGGAGGAGAAGATTCTGGTTCTGGCTGAGTATCTTGGTGAGGAAATTAGGAAGGCTAGTGCTTGATCATAGCTAGTAGTGTGGGAATCAGTCAATAGCTCTAATTATATTGAAAGAATTGCGGTGACAACACAGGTTTTGTGACAACCGAAGAAATATACAACGAAGCCGAAAAAATGTACAGTCGCAGGTATCATAGCATCATTATGATTTTACCATCCCTCTAACGGCGTTATTTTTACCAGGACCCCGTCCTTCGGGGTCACTGTTGCGGCTTCACGGAGTAGGAGCTCTTTATTGGGATCCTCGAGTTCGAACTGAAATTTCCCAACAAATGTGGCCAGCAAGCAAGC